GCTTTTGGAAGCAGTGGAAGACCCATCCAGGCCAGCAGACGTGAAGATTGGAAGGTCATTTGTGGCAGGTCATCAAGAGTACCCATAACAGTGGCTAATTTCTCTAAATGTCAGCAGATGAATCCCACGTGAAGCAGAAGGCAATAAGATGGAGACCAGTATGAAAAAAGAAACTTCCTGTAAAATTAAGAGACTTTGCTGTATTTTAATTTTGTGTTCATAAATTCTGTACATTTAATTAAGTTATTGATAATTATTTATTGGTTTAGTGTAAGTGGCTATTGTTCGGGACGAAAAATACTCAGGAAGGGACAGTGTTACGACAGCAGAAGTCACGTGAAACTGCTGGCACATGTGTGATGAGTTTCTCGAATGATCGGGGAAGTCCGAGTTTGTTCGAGTTGTCTTCTTCATTAGTATATAAGCCTGGCAGGGGAAAGCCAGCGCTGGCGGGATATGAATGAAGGGAAAGCAGTAGTTACTTTGAGTTCCGTGTAATTTATGACTCTGTTAGTTTTGAGTTAATGAGTCGTAAAGTGTGTGTTTTGCACTCGTCATTGAGATTGTGAATCGCTGTGATTTAAAGCGTGTATTATAAAATTGTTAAGTTTAAAGTGACGAGAAACGTACTGATTGTGGAACAACTGTGTACTAAAAGTTTGTATCGAGGAAGAATAAACTGGTTTAATCAAGAAATGACTTGTATTGCTGAAGATCCTCAGAAATAATTTATACCGGAAACAAACAAACAAGCAGATATGTAACAATATAATTAGGAAAAAGGGTAGCTAGTAGGATGGCTAGTGCAAATAACTTCCAGTAGCTTTGCCTGAAATACAAAACAAACAATAACCTTGTGAAACATAAAGGATGAAATATACTATTTTGTTATCATTATGTGGACTGAAGTGTGATCTATTTTCACCAGATAATTTAAAAGAGCCCATCAACGAAAGAACAACATTACAATATCTGATGTAAGAAGTGAGATTATTTTGGTGAAAATAAAATAGAATTTTGAATATACTTGTAAAAGAACTTCTACTGTACAAATGATAATCATTAGGTCAAGGATTGAGAGTCATTTGTTACTTGAGATGTTGAAATTATCAAGTCAAGATTTAGATAGAAAAGATAGAGAATTAAAAGTAGACCAGAAAAATGGGACAGAAAATTAAAAGAAGAACAGATCAGAAAATAATAAAACACACAAAAACGGGATTTTAAGGAGGAATTTAAAGAAAGGAACATACTATTCAAATAAAAATAAAAAAAATAAAAATCTGATTTAAGACAAAATTGACAAGACTATTAGAAATCTACAGCAATGTTACGATAATTATGTTTGAGAAAATGCAGTAGGCCATAAAGTAAGTAGATGGAACGTCTAGAATACGAAATATTAAACACGACATTTAAAACAGTCATAATTCTTCATTAACTCGAAAGTTCTAGCCTGGAACATTACCTTCTACAAAATGTGTAAAAAGACAACTTATTAGGTTTACACCTAATTACCACTATTGCTGTGCCACCTGTTACTAAAGGACCTTCCAGTCATGAAAATATGAAATCAAGTTCCAGAATATAGCTAGCCAATTCAACATTAACCAATCAAGAAACCAGTGGACTATAATATGAAGGTTTCATGGGAGATATACTAGTCTAAATTTGAAATAATTTCCAAAATAAATGGGTGAAAAAGAAAACAACACATTTTTCATCTTGCTGCCTATTTAAAAGGACTAGCTTTGACAACATTAAATAACTGTCATGCCAAGAGCTGTAACAGCAATCAAGCATCAATAATCACTATATCTAACAGGTTTGGGGTATTTAAAACAAAGCTCTGGAACAGGGTTTGGAAGAAAAAAGAGACCTTAGCCAATCATGAAGAAAATATGGAAAGACTTGCCCAATTATCTTATCCAGAAAATCCTTGTGAAATGATAGATTTCTTGGCACATGATTAATTTATAGATATAATAGCAGATGAGGATATGAGAATCAGGTTGATGCAGAGTAGGTATACATCTTTCAAGGAAGCTTTGCAATTAGTAATAGAACTAGAATCCATTAAAGTTGTTAATAAACTATTTAATCAGACATCTAGTTACTACAGATTGGAGGAAATAGAACACAATGAAAGAGATGTTTCATGTTTAACTTGACAAGACACATTGCAAGAAACTGTAGATTAAAGCTTGTATGAAAGAAGAACTCTTCCTAGAAGATATTAAAAAGATAGAACTGTTATAACTGTGGAAAATGTGGCCATTAAAACAGAGATTGTAAGGAATCAACAGCTGTTATTAAGCCAAAGAGACATTACTCTGAGTACGTGGCTTTGTGCCCAACCAACAAAAAGAAACAATAACCAGACATGAAAAAGACAGGAACTAGCTATATTTATGGGATGAAGTTCAGCTTGAAATATTCCATGTACTTTGGGTAGATAGAATACTTCAAGCTGAATGTCATCACATAAACATAATTAGTTCCTTAGTCAATCAGCAATAGGCTATGCAGTTATAATTGTTGAATCAGTGTGTTACTGAAGATGGGAAATTGCCCACAGAGATGAAGGGAAAGAGGGATAAGTATAAACAGCACGTGAACATAAAGTTTCAGGAAAAGAGAAGTTACCTTTACTGTAAGAAACTTTTCTACACCTCATTGTTTGTGGGTAATTGGCACTGAGGAAGAGTGCACATTGGAAAATGACTTCGTGTAGAGAAATGTATATGAGATTAGACTACCTATATATAGATTCAAGTTCTATAGCCAAGAAATCTCTGTGTACTATATGACAGTTTCTATACTGGAGATTGAACTTCCAGTGTAAATGAGAATGTTGATAATTGCACTATCAAGAGGTCAAATACTCAAACTAGAAGTTATTAACAATAATTATTCATATAGTGGAAACAAATGTTCTGACATGTCCTAGAGAATTAATTATTTGATTAGCTCTTGTTAACATGAAGAATTAAGATGTTTGACATTACTTAACTCAGTAAAAACTTAAATCAGTTTGTGCTAAAATAAAAGATCGCCATAATGTCAATGGTGATAAAACTGATGGTGATTTGATTAAGGTGAGATGAGAGAACAATCTCCAAAGGTAAATAGGTGTTTGGAAGAGCCAAACTGTTATTTAAATGTTTGATCAATTGCATTATGATATCAGTTGGGATTTTTGCATGTATTTACAGTTCATTTTCAAGTTTGTATTTTAATCCACTAGGAGAGAGTAATGTGTGATAATTGTAATTTCATTTATGCTTCAAGTTTTCTATTCAACGAGATGTAAATATATTTATAACTTTACACCAAACAAGCCTACTGTGAGATTTCTTTTGGACAATTATAACTGTCTTTTTCGTCAATAATCTCTGTCTTTTTGTTTCAAAGGTATTTGTGGTGAAATAGTGATATTAGCGGTGAAATTCTCAACACAAAAGTAAAGGTACCCAACTTGGTGAAGTGGACCTGTT